TTCGTACTGTAATTAACATAATATAATATTTCTTTTAGGCAACATTTATATTGTTTAATTGTTGCCTAAGATTTTTGTGTACCATGATGCAATTATTTTCTTGCACTCTTTCTACAAATGAATCTCAAACAAGCAAACAAACAACCAAATGTTGTATACAAACAAMTTTTATAACCAAACAAAATAAATATGTTCAATAATTGAAAGAKAATTGTTTTTCCCTAAATAAGTCTAAAAGTAGGCAACAAGTTCAATAACACAAAATTAAAAACTTAACCTAAAGCGTGAGAGGTCGGAGTTGTTGTGTTAGAGTTTGAATCACTAGCACCCAACATAGTCATCAATGATTGTATCATCTTTCTTTGCTCGGCAGCTTCCTTTTTTGCCTCATGYTGTCCCTCTTTTAACAATCTAATCTCCTCGTCACGCTCGGCAAGTTGTTGCCGCAAATTTTCGTCGTCAACTGTAGATACCGGCTTAGAGAATCCCTTCGCCGGTCCTCTCAACCTCGCAGGTCTAACCGCCAAACTACCCATACCTCAAACAACCGTACCTACAGACGGACCAACAATTTGCTCGATGATTGATATTTCTTTTTCGATTGGGCAACGAATTAGAGTCCCGATAGATTCCGAAGTGCATTCAGAAGCGTTCTTAATCTTCTCAATCTCTTCCTCAACAAGTTTCTGTAAATACGATTCAAACAATTGTTTTTTTTTTACAATTATATATTTCCTGTCAATCATCCCTCATTAATGAGTTGAAATGGTAAAAAACAAACTAAATTAATGTGTTTTTATAAAGGTTTGGAAAAGTTGGAACGAAAAAGGGATAAAAAAATATTTTTGACAGCTGTGTGAGACTATGGTATTTCTAACATATATCACTCGTCCGAGCTCGGATACAAGTGATTAAAGATGATCTGGAAAGCTAACAAACGGTCCTACAACTTTTAAGTTTTGAGTTTCTGTAAATTCAGGCTAAATCTAAGCTAAAACGGGCGTCCAAGATGAAAAAGTGATGCTGAACAGCAAATGAAAAAAATATAAAAATCATGACCACAAGAAAACAAAAGCTCATGTTTACTTACTTTACGGTCTTCACTTGTAGTGGTCTCGGCAATTGTACCGAGATAAGGAGCCACATGTCCGGTAGCTTCAAGGTTGTTAGCCTAAACCGGAACAAAGTAGGTATCGATTTGTGCTCGATCCTATTTTTTGACAACCTTGCTTCCGTCATTCTCTTTGATTTATTCTACAACATGAGAAGCATTTATTTTACAATTTAAAGAAAGCAAAAAGGCATGGGAGTACATGCAAACCTTACTAACAAACAAACTATCCAATATAAGTTAATGCACAAAAGCTAATTATATAAAAGCCATATAAAAGCAATCGTAAAAGCTTCAAAGACAACGAGTTAGAACGAAGACAGTCCATAATCCAACTCAAAAAAAATTATATACTTAATTATTTACTTATTAAATACCTTTCATGTTTCTTTTTCAAAAAGTGTGCACAAAAAATCCCACTGATCTGACCGATGTACAAAGTTCTTTGGGATCGGGAGACGACCTTGCTTCTTATATAATGTGTGGCAATCAATTTTCCACCTATTATATGAGTGGCGCGCAGTTAGGTGGATCCAATCAAATAATGCGTCACCCGGAGGTCCATTYCAATCAATCTCAAAGAAAACCTAAAAAGCAAATATAAATCAAAATGAAATAAAAAGTTTAGCATTATTAATTAATAAGACATAAGTCATTAAAAAAAAGAACTAAAAAAATATACTTACGCTAAGTTGATCAACCACAATCTTGAGTTCGTCTTGTGTAAGTTGTAAATAACTATCGGTCAACATTGGAATATGCTCACGAACAATGCTTCCGATTTGCTTTGCGATCCTACAAACTTTGTTTGTGTYGGGCAAATTTTTTTCCATGGACCACTTAAGAGGAAGACGTTTATTTTCATTGTTAGCAATGTCTCTCTTAATCGCCTTTCCGGTGATAATTCCTCKTCTTGCCTTCTTTGTAACCGGTTCTTCCGTCGGTTCCACTTGGGTGCGGCGACAATTGATACGTATATCTAGAGCAAGTGACCTAAAACCAGTCTCCCACCTAACATTCCCAACCCTGTAAAATCACTAATAGTCCACATCACTGCAGCTTTCATCATAGAGTACACTTCCCCGTATCGATCCCATGTCCTAAAACCAGTCTCCCAAAGAATTTTGAGTTCATCAATCAATGGTCTCATAAACAAATTGAGACATTTCCCTGGGGATTTTGGTCCAGATATCAACATCGTTAGTATATTAAATTCCTTTTGCATGCACATTGAAGGAGATAAGTTGTATGGAATCACAACAATTGGCCAAAGGCTATAGGGAGTAGCAGAAGCCCCGAAAGGACTAAACCCATCAGTCGATAAAGCGAGACGAACGTTTCTGAGGTCACTCGCAAATTATGGATATGACCTATTTAAGACATTTACTTGTCAAAAATTATAACCATATTAAAAGAATTTACATGTCAAACAAGTATATTAAAAACATTTACCT